TGCTAATTGCTCTGAAATTAAGTTGTCAGTAGGCAGAGAATACCATCAATCTGAAAATCACTCTCCTACTAGGGTAATAAAGAAAGCCCAAGGGTAGCACAAAAACAAAGCATAGCATCCTGTCTACCAGTTAAGTCCAAGCAGAATGAAACACACTGTCCTTGCAGAAGGCAAAATCCACTATCAAAGTTTTTCCTCATTTTTAATTGTGTCAGGCTGATGTAAGACACAACAACAGTGGCCATGTATACGTGAATGTAAGTTTTATAAAATGCCTGTGCGCTCTACATTAATGGTTTCACAAATAATTTCTCTGCTCCTAAGAACTGACAACTTTTTATACATTATTCAGTAGGCACTAGTTTTTTTTTTTATTATTATATATCTGTTCTTTTGCATTATGTGCTATGGCAAACCTCACACCACAAGTCAAATACCCTACTTATATTAACAGTCACAATAATAGAGCATGAATCATCTTCATGATCTACACAGTGCATGTAATGTTCTTTGGAAAGCTAAACAGTGTAGCCCTGAGAACAGAAGGAGATTGCTAGATATGTTTTGAAGTTAATCCCTATGGCTCCAACCATGTAAAAATATTAAGATCTAAATCTTTTTCAATGATATGTGACTGAGCACTGGGGAAGAAGACTATACAGCAAGTCTGTTGTAGAAGCTGAAGAACAGTAATGGGACCTAATAGTGTAGTAGGCTGTGCCTCCAGGGGACACGGTCTGCTCTGCAGAAGGCATGCTGAACTTTTCTGCCTTGCTGCTGACTTGCATGTAAGCAGGCAAGAAGGATTCATGAAAAAGGGATGCCTCTCCCAGCTTTCCTGCTTGCCATTACAATAAGCACCATGGCAAGTTTTATCCCTAAGACATATTCAGCTAAAAGCATCTGTTGCATCCCAAGAAACATCTGCTCCTATGACTTGCTGTTCATGCTCACTGCTACTCCCGCTCAAAAGCAGGGAAGCCAGGGACATGTGAATGGGATGACAAAGTTCAGGGCATAAACCTGGAGCAAAAACACCAGGGCAGCTGCACACAAACAAGCAGGCTGTACATTTGAAAGCAAGAGAAATAAATAGCCTGCCCATTGATAGACAGACACTTCAAAATAGGAAAATTTTGCCCCTGACTTATCTAGCAGTAACCTTGCATTGCTAAGCAGTACTAAACTGTTTTCTAGGATACTGCCATGTGGTTTCATAATGGGACCTCTTGACTTGCCATGGGCCATCTCATTCATGCCTGGACAGCCTTAACGTTTCACATGACTTCAAACTTTACATAAGCCCAAAGTTACAGCAAGTCTTGATCCTAGTGTAGCAAAGATTTCTCTCTTTATTCCATGTTATAAGGAATGTGCTCTCCTTCACATATGTTATTGGGATGATAACATATCCCCAATCATTGCATTTATATAGGCTATTCTATGATTTCCAAGACTTACTGGCACAATTCAATAACACATTTTCATTAAAATGTTTGGTAGATTAAATGTATCCATTATGATACACATCTGGTAACAAGTTCTAGAAAATATACCTACCGCTTTCTTCAGTATTTGCCCTCCTTGCCTCAGTGATACATATTGATTCTTGCTAAATTAGTATAGAAACTGCATGACAAGTTTTGCTTTTTTCTGTGACTATAGTCCAGTACTTATTGCAGTACTGTGATTTACATACAGTTTGAGTTGTATGGCCAGAGAGGCTTATTTCAAATAGCTACATTTCTGTATATAATACTTAACTTTTGCATTCAGTTGTGGTTGTATTCTGAAAAGCCACAAAATAAGTACTTCAGAGTTACAGCTTTACATCCTCAGTTCTGAGTTTACAAGTAAAATAAACTCCTCCCCACCCCCCAAACGGCCAAATCAGCATTTAGGGTTTAAAAACCAAGCTGTTCTTTCCAGCCAACTCATCAACTGCAGTGCACATGAATCCATCCATATTAATCCATACATTAAAAACTTAAATAATCTTACCAATGCAGGAATTATGCTGCTTTATGCTACTGCACATTGGATGTGTTTACATGAGACACTAAATGCGCAGTAGACTAATCTACTGCACATTAGCATGTCACAGCAAAAGCCGTGCTATTGCACTAATGCACAATAAAATTAGCCTACCATGCATTAGCGTCACGCACCGGCACTGCTGCGCAGTAGCGCCGATTACTTCACATTGAGTTCAGTACCTATTATCAAAGTCATGCACAGTAACTATGGCACATTAGTGCATGTGGAGATGTGCCCATTGAGAGCAGAATTCAAAAGCAAATGTCTTTGTATTGGGCTAGTGTGCTAAAGGTGCACAAGAGAACCGTGTAGCTGCATTATGTCCAAACTTCTTTGATTCCCTAGCCCAAATGACTCAGTTAAACTGGGTCAGCTATGGGAGGCCTTCAGAAGCTTGGCGAAATGCATTAACTGCTCTGCTACAGAGAACAGATTTTAACTTTTACTTAATGGTGCTACATGGGTAGTACAGGTCCTACAGTAGTAGCAGGAATAAAAAGTAGCATAAGAGCCACACTTTGTCACTCTTAGTTATATTGCACAGTACTTTACTCTGTCAGTAACCCCAAATGCTTCACTGGGACTACATGCAGATGAATATATTACTCAACTCACGTTAGGGATGAATATATCATTTACAAAAACTATCTGTTTAACCTTCCCTGATTAAATGCTTAACTGATAACACCCCCGTGACCACCTTTTCAAAATGGAAAGGAAGGACACAGCCTGCTCTACTTCACCTTGTGCTGTGGAGGGGATGCAGCCACCTGCTGGAGCAGCACAGGGGGGCAGGGACCATGCACAGACTGACTTGGACACAGCTGCTGCTGGGAGCCACTCCACAGGGCCTTTGACAGGGGGAGGAAGAGGCAGTGGCAAGTCCCGCCAGGCAGCACACCCCACATGAAGCCATGGGTGCCAGCAGCAGGTAAGGAGCTTCCCCAGCCCACTGCAGCCACTGGCTCACCAGGAGGGAGGGAGCAGACAAGCTATGGGAACTATAGTCCTCCCTCCCACTCTCCCCTTTGCCCCTTCTCTCTTTTCCCTCCTTCCCTCCCGCCTGGCCTGCTACTTTCCTTCCCTGCCGGACAGTGCCCTACATTAAATGTTAACTGGTAATGCATTCCTGGGACAAATATACTTATCGTTTAAACATTTAACCTTTCACATCCCTAATTCACTTAAAGGTAGTAAAATCAGAACTAAGTGTGAGCCAAACTCTGCTCTTATTTATACCACTCTAAATCTGGATTAAGTGGAATATATCCGAGATTTACCTTCGTGTAAGTGAAAGCAGAAGGTTACCAAGGATTTGTTGATTGTAAAAGATCCTATTTTTTAAGGAGTTAATAATCTGAACACACTTCTAATTTGAAACGTAGAAAAATATTATTTCTTTAAAAAGCAGTTAACCCTCTGAAATGTAAGTCATCAAAACCACAGTTCAGCAATTCCTGCAGTGGTAAGATGTTGATGTCAACTATAGTACAACCTTTTTGAAGTCTCAAGCATTGTAAGTATCCTACAGATTCCTTTGACTTTAACTTTGCACGTGCTAATTACCATTGTGCTATTAATATCTTCTCTTTGTTTTAAAAATTTCAGATATAACAAATTGGCCATTCTTTACCAAATATTTAGGCAAACTACCTTTGCCTGAATGAGGCATTCAGAATACAGCTTTCAGGAAGACCAGGCTGAATTCTTGCTCATTGCCCCAAATATGGCAGTACAGAAGCTCAGAAATCACACTTCAGCTACATATTTCCTGCT